AAAGGGAATGGAAGCAAATACTGTTGAATGATGATGCACAGAGGAGATTGTAATCATTGCAGTGAAACGATGGTGTAAAGCCGATGTTCTGCCATGTAAACTATCACTCAGTTCACAATAAAAACTTAAAAAAAAAATACACAGAAAATAATAGTATAGAAATGCTGGCTATACTTTGACTAGATTGGTGCTGACAGGCGATAAGACAAAGCAGACTGTGCAGAGCTGCTATTAAGATGGATTCAGAAGCCAATGCAACCTGTCATGAGGCAGAGAGTGTTCTTGGGGAGGAAAGATGCACTGGGTGTAGTCATTTTGAGTTGTTGTTTAACACAGTCAAAATGCCCGTGGCTGCCAGTATAGCAGCTGAAAAGAGGATTTCTCCTTTTCTGCAGAAGGCTGTAATTCTACTGCTATTCTGGTTTCCCTTGCTTAGAAAAATGTAAAGCAATGTGACTTCTGAGTAAAATTTTTTTTATCCTCTTATTTACCTATCATGTATACGCTAATTTACATGACTGAAAAATTGTTATAACAGATGTTATCTAGGGAGAGCAGAATATATACATCTACCTTGTCGTTAAGTGCCTTCAAGTTGGTTCCGACTCACAGTAACCCTGTATACAGTTTCCAAGGCTTTTTAAAATCTTTGTTGGAGCAGAGTCTCGGCAAAACAGCTGTTGAGCTTGAACCATGGACCTTGTCATTTGTAGTCCAGTGCTTATTATATGGAGCAACCGCACTCCCTACATATACACTAAGACCTAGGAAATTATGCTTCTGTAGAGAAACTTTTGCATAAGGAGAGAGACACAGTGCTATTTATAGCAGTGCAGATGTGAAAGCCACCTAATAGTTGTAGTAACTGAGTAAAGACACAGATAAACTGTTGCTTAGTCTTCTATCAAATACTAATCAGCAGTTAAAATGAATGGCTTAGGGCTGCATGAATGAAGAAGGTTAAATTTAAAATTATAATGTTGACATAAAAAGATGTTCAACATCATTAGTTGTTGTTGTTAAGTGCCGTGGAATCAGTTCCTACCCATAGCAACCCTGTATGGGATTCCGAGGAATGGCTGGTGAGCCTGAACTCCTCACCTTGCAGTTCAAACCAACCTTGCAGTCCAGTGCATTAACCCACAGCGCCACACCAGGAAATGAAAACTCCTTAGGGAAACAACAATGGAAGTCACCACCCTACTCTCTACGATAGCTATGATAAAAAGATAGACGACAGTTAAGTGTTGGTGTGGCTATGGAGTCACTGGAATGCTCACAATATAAAATGGTGCAGCCACTTTAAAAAACACTTGAAAGTTTATTAAAAAGTTAAGCACAAATTTACCTTAAGACCTAGCAATTCCACTCATTGGTTTCTACTAAAGAGAAAAAAAAACAATGTCCAAACAAAACTTGTAATCAAATGTTCACAGCAGCATTACTAATAAAAGCCAAAAAGTAGAAACAACCCAAATGCCCATCAACTGTTGAAATGATAAATAAGATATGGTATATCCATACAATGGACTATTATTCAGCAATACAAAGGAACAAAATTCTTATATACAACATAGATAACCTTAAAAACATGCTAAGTAAAAAATGCCATATACAAAGAGCAAATATTATATAATCTCATTTATATGATATATCCAGGAAAGACAAACGTAGAGAAACAAGAAAGCACATTAGTAGCTAATTGGGTTGGAGGTGGGAACAGGTGTGACTGCAAATGGGCACAAGTGGTTTTTTTGGGGTGATGGAAATGTTCTAAAGTTGGGTTGTGGAGATGTTTCTACAACTCTAAATTTAATATAAATCACTGACTTGCACACTTGAAACAGGTGCATTTTATATTTTGTAAATCATACCTCAGTAAATTTACTTAAAAATACAATAAGTAAAAAGAACAAGCTGCAGCTGCTTAATCCCACGCCAAATAAGAAACCACTGGTAATCGCCTGCTTTTCAAAAGTTCACTTTGTGTCACTCCACTTTTATGAAAGAGCTACATGAGTATTAGCACCTGTTTTTGCTAGCCGAAGAAATCCAAAGGCATATTTTTATAAAAAAGGCAAAAAGTCAAACTGGCATTCAGTGTTTGTTCTGTAGCAAGCCGTTACGGAGGCAATGTGCACCACCAGCAGCCAGAGTGGTGTCCCCGCCCTTCTTTCCTGAAACCCACACTCAGCACCACGTCACCAAAGCTCTGAGTGCGCCTGTGCACACTGCAGGTTAGGGTCAGTGCAGGTTTTAGGTGTTATTGGGTAGGTTATTTTTGGGGCCTGGGAATGCTCAAAAGCTTTTCCTATATAAGTTACTGGTAACTGCTTCTTTGTTTTATACCATTTTAGCTTATGAAAGGCTTCACAGGAACACTCTACTTTCATGTAGCAGGGGAAACCTGTATGTATGTAGTATTTGATTTACGTAACATTTAATGTTGATTATATTGGACTGCGAACCACAAGGTCAGCAGTTCAAACCCACCAGAAGCTCCTTGGAAATCCTATACAGGGTCGCTGAGTCAGAATTGACTCAACAGCACTTAACAACAACAATGTATATATCAGACATATAAAATCATATCTAGACATACATAGGAACAATTGGCACCAACTTTACGACAGCGTTTAGTTCTTGAGTATAAAAGGTAAAGAAATGGAGAGAGGATTTTTGTTATATCCAGGCTTATCTCTTTAAAAAAAAACCAACTGCCAAATTCAGCCAAACATGAATACATCAGTGCCAGAAACACAGATGTCCGTTATGTTCTTTCTGCATGCTTGAGGACAAAATCTTACCTTTGTTCAGTGCTATGTCTTTGTGCACTTCTACGACATTGGCTGGTGTACACTGAAGCACTTCAGGAGACAGAATCTCAGAGTGCAATGTTAACTCCGCAGAGAACTCCTGGGATCCATCACTGTAGTCCACAGATCCTGATAATGTGCTGTTTAATTAAAACATATCCTTTAAAACAAACTAGCTAACAAAGTCTTAAAATTAGTTCCGAGATCTATAATAAATAACCACTTACACAGAGAAATCATTCTGTTTGAGAATTTCCTGAAGTCTCTTCTGAAATTTTTTTTCACTTTCTGTGGCTGGCACAAACCTGCGATCTTTGAATTTTAAAAGTGCATTAAAAAATGTATAGAACAAATGAATGAAATATTTTCTTCTAAAGTAGCTTTAAAAAAGGTAGCAATTTCCTATCTTTCTCTTGACACATATGACACCACCTAAATGTAGTCCTATTGTAAAAATCAAACAAGAGAAATGGTTGCTATTGAAAATTTTAAAACTAAGTACTTAAAATTAGCTCAAAGTTAAGTTTTATAATTATTACCTAAATCTAAAGCAGAAAAACATTTTCTGTCTATAAATGTATCCTATACCCTGAACCTAAAAATCTACTTCAAAATGCATAAAAGGCACTCAAAATTCACTAAAGTATTTTTAGTGCCCAAGACATTACAATAAAATAAATTTTTAAGCAGACTTCAATGAAGGTTTTAGACTTCAATGAAGGTTTATTACCTTCTTCCAAATACATTTGCCTTTTGAATTTTTTTTTTTAATATGTTGTTGTATCCAAGGTATTTATTTGCTACTGTTGTTAGTGCCATTAAGTTGGTTCCAAGTCATAGTGACCCTGTATAGGGTTTCCAGGGAGTGGCTTGGTGGGTTTAAGCTACTAACCTTTTGAGGGATAACTAGTGCTTACACTACAGCGCCACACCAGAATTTAAGAATCCTCAAATCCTTTTTGAATGTAGCTGGGTTTAATAATAAAAACATTTTTTTATAGAGCTGTACAGGATAATCAAAATAAGAATTTATGTAAAATATCCAGAAAGAATCTGTAGGCAGCATTTATGAGTGACCTTTTCAAAACTTAATGAAATTAGTTGGGATTCATGACCTGACAATTTTCTATAACTCATTTGGAAATATACAAGGCTATAATTTACTAAAAGATGAAAACGGGGCTAAAAGGTAAGCAAGAGGACAATGTAGAATACAGTGAAAACTATGGACACTGAAGATGTCAATGAATGACACTTGGGAGACAGTTGTAAAGATAAAGGATTACTGGTTGCAGGACAATGGCAACAGAAGGAAAAAGTACATTGAAAACTTAAAAGGTAATTTTGAAAGAATAATCTAATGTCAAGGTAAAAATTCATTGCCTTAAATTTTTCAACTACAATATTTAGTTTTAAAAATCATCAGGTTACTATTAGGTTTATACCTTGTGATTCAGGCTGGCTAATTTGAGAAGTTTCATTTCTGTTTCTTCGTCGTTGCTTTTCATCTTCCCAAATGGCATGTAGGCCAGGGTTTCCACCAATTTGAGCTGTAATCACAATAATACTTCAGTACTACAAAGGTCAAAGCGAAAAATGCTTAAAAATAGGAACACAGACTTTCCTTAATAAATGACTTTCAAGAAAAATTACCTCTTTTGTGAAATACAGCAGGCTTATTACACATTGTCCCAACCTACATTTGTTTACATTACTCCTTTAAGTTTTCTTTCTGGTGGTGGTGGTGTGTTGTGGAGTTGGTTCTGATTCATAGCGACCCTGCATAAGGTTTCCGAGGCTGTAAATCTTTACAGTAGCAGAAAGCCTCGTCTTTCTCCCGTGGAAGGGAAGGTAGTTTTGAACTGCTGATTTGTAACCACTATGCTGCCAGAACTCCTAAGGTTTCTGCCTACTGCTTCCAAAAAAAACAACGAATGAAGAAAATTCAAGCATTTGATGATAGCTAATAGATCTAACAGTCATCTCACTGGTATATAATCTAGGAATTAAAAATTAGAAGGCAAAATATATTAAATTCTATTATATCAGCTATATTATTTTGTGTCATACTTACATTGTCTTTGCAAACATACAAATAATAAAAAGACTGCAATCTTCTTAACATATTACATCTTCCTTCTATAACATCTTAATTTCCCTTGCAATGTTTTCTTCTTTACTTTTCCTACTTTATTTTGATCACTGACTTTTAAATATAAAAATATATATTGGAGTCCTGGTGTGGTACTGTGGGTTAATGTGCTGGACTGCAATGTTGGTTTGAACCACAAAATCAGTGTGGTTCAAGCTCGCTACTCCTTGGAAACCCCATAAAGGGTTGCTATGAGTCAGAACCGACTTGACAGCACTTAACAATGACAACAATGTAAGTCCACGAAGAAAATGTTCTATATTATAAAAGCACAGGAATACTGATCAGATAGAGACTGCTGGGACCCCTGAGACTATGGCCATAGGTCTGAAAATGAACTCACCCACATGGCTCAATGTTCAGCTAAACAATAAACAGGTCTTTAAGGTGAACAATGACAACAGGGAGGTATTTACTCCTTAGAACAAGCAATCATTTGATATGAAAAGTGTAACATTTGTTCAAGGATAGAGTTCAGAAGGCAGGAAAGATTAGGAAAGAAGAAGGAATGGAAAGTGGACAGAAGGATGTGTACTCTTAAGTTGTGAGTATTTTAATAATGATATAACACTAAATTGTATGAAGTTCTGAATGAAAAACAGAATTGCTCTATAAGTTTTCACCAAATTCACACAAAAAAGTTCAAAACAAAACAGAACTAAGTACATACCTTCAATGTCCAGCCGATTTAAGATATCAGCAGCTACGGCATCCACTTCTAATTCACAGGTACTCTGTGGTTCAACACCTTCCAGTATTAAAGAACTGAAATAAAAAGGTATCCCAAAATACAATAACTACATTTTATAAAACAACATTTTGGGAAACTATTCTTTCACTGTTTCGTGTTTTGATGGTATCTTAGTTATCTTATGCAGCTATAACAGAAATACAACAAGTGGGGAACTTTAACAAACAAATTTATTTTCTTACAGTTTAGGAGGCTAGAAGTCCAAATTCAAAGCTCTGGCTCTAGGGAAAGCTTTCTTAGTTTGTTGATTCCTGAGGAAGGTTCCTTGTCTCTTCACCTTCTACTTTCTGGTTCCTTGATGATCTCCATGTGTCTTGGCATCTATTTTATCCCATAACTCCCTTTTGCTGGCCTTTAAAATCTTTTTAAAGGAGCTCTGGTAGCGTAGTGGTTACGAATCGGGCTGCAAACTGCAAGGTCAGCAGTGTGAAACTACCAGATGCTCTGTGGGAGAAAGATGAGGCGTTCTGCTCCCATAAAGATGAACAGCCTCAGAAACCCTGTGCAGGGTCGCTATTGAGTTGGAACCGACTCCACGGCACATAACAACAACAATAAAATCTTTTCTTATCTTAAAAGAGACTTATGATACAGTCTACACTAATTCTGGCTCATTGACATAACAGAGATAATCATTCCCAAACGGGATTATAACCATAGGCATACAAATTAGACTTTAAACACATTTTGGGAATATAATTCAATCCATTATAGGTAGTACCCAGAACACCATGAGGTAGAGGATGATGTCATATTCATTCACACCTATTTATGGCCAAACTGTATTATGTGTACATGTATAAAGAAATGATAATGTTACAAATGGCTAAGGTTGAAGGCACCTTGGAAAATAGGTCTGAAAATCTACTTCTGAAAAATGAGTCCCTTAAAGCCTATGGAGCACATTTACACTATGAAACACATAAGGTTGCCATGAGTTCAAATAAACTAAACAACACTTTTTTTTTCCACTGTTAAAAAAAAAAAAAAATTGTATTGACACCCCTACTAAGACCCTTTGACAATATATTCTACCTATTTTGTTTTATTACATTTTATACTCAGGAACGACCAATTTTTAACAGGAGTCACATCCAGGGAGAATGCTATAGAATCAGAGGCAATAAAGAAAGTATCAAAAATGCACATATGCAATTAGTTGTCCAGAGCCATCTTCCTCAACGATCACTGACAATTTAAAAACAAAAAAAGAAAATATGCAACAGAAATGAAGGAAATGAGCATACTAAAAATACGTTAAATTATACTCATTGTTGTTCCTGTTCTCAACTACTTCTGAGCTGGGCTGGGAAATGCTTTAAGATTCACCAGAGATATAGAGTTCAGAAACCATATCAATATGCAACACTGGGATGTTGCTGTTAACACTATCTAGTCAGTTCCAATCCATACTGACCCTGTGTAGGGTTTCCAAGGAGTGGCTGCTGAGTTTGAACTGTTGACCTTGCAGTAGAGTGCACATTAGGACTCCTAAACAGTGGGATTGTTGTTAAGTGCCATCGAGTTAATTTCGACCCCTAGTGACCCGATTCAGGGCTTCGAAGGAGCAGCTGGTGAGCTTGAACTGCTGACATTATAGTTCTACTCTACTTTGCAGTCCAGCACATTACCCACAGTGCCACACTAAGACTCCAACAGCAGGATTGGGGGAGGAAAAGTGGTGAAACTACTAGGTCGTTAATTTTATAGGAGTCCTGGTGTGGTGCTGCAGGATAATGCATTAGATTGCACGGTTGATTTGAACTCAAGGTCTACCGGTTCAAACTTAACAGCACTTAGAAACCCTAAACAGGGTAGCTATGAGTCAGAACTGACTCGATGGCACTTACAAGAACAACATACAGGGTTGTTATTATGTTACTCAAAGACTTTCTGTATTTCACCAAAAAGAGAAGATTCGGAGACACCCACATAACTGTCTCTTATGGACAGAACTAGGAGACAAAATCAAGTGTGGAACCCCGCTAACTCATTGCAAAATTTAGAAACCCTATTAAAATGATCAGGCAGTGTTTTGTACTGTTGTACATAGGGTTGTTATGAGTCAGAATCAACTTGATGGCACCTAACAAGGCTAAAAAGAAAAGAGATTCATGATTTCATTTAAAAGTGGATGAAGGCAGATTTTATTAGCATTTTTCATTTGAAACACTCTTTACTATTTAAGAGAAGAAACATTGTAAAACCTAATTTTCTGGTATGGCACTGTAGGCTAATGCATCAGACTGCAAAGTCATTTGGTCGGTGGTCCAAGCTCACCAGCTGCTCCTTGGAAACCCTACATACAGGGTTGCTATGGGTCAGAATCAGCTCGAGGGTGCTTAACAATAACTACTGCTAATAAGGACTCTTGGTGTGGCACTGTAGGATCAGCAGTGAACTGTGAATCACAAGGTCAGCAGTCCAAATTCACAAGCTGCTTCTCAAAAACCCTTTAAAGGATAGTTATGAGTCAGAACCGACTCAGGGCACTTAACAACAACAATATTGCTAATAAGGGCTCATGGTGTGGTGCTATAAGATAAGCACAAGACTGCAAACTTAAAGGTCAGTGGTTCAAATCCACCATTTGTTCCTAGGAAACTATATACAGGGTCTCCATGAGTCAGCACTTAACAACAACATTGCTAAGAAAGTAATTTTGATTGAACATCAAAAATTAATTTGTTAAACCAAAGGATTTTTACAACCATACATACATATGTATATATGTGAAAATATATGTATATTTAAAATTGTTTTATATCATTAATAGAGAAGGAAATGTTTAGCCAAAAACCTATCAAATCTATCCGTTTCATTTTCAGAAAAAAATAACTCAGTGTAGACTGTCTTCTTTACTCATATAATTAACAAAATCAATTTTGTCTAGGATTGAAGTATGAGATAAAGCAGTGTTCATGAAGAATTTCCTTGACTTACACTAAAATGTTTTATAAACTTAGAGAACTATTTTGTAAACGTCAAGGATGAATTTTCTATAAGTAGTACATTTGTGACATAGAAGGGAACCAGTAACATTTAAAAAATGCAATCTCACAATAGAAGTTTGTAACTATTTCTTGTTCTTATTACAAAACCCTTTAAGATATTCAGAACAAGAAGTTTTCATACGAAAAGTAAGTAGTTTTCAGAATGAAAAATCTGTACTACACAGAAAAAGCAAGAGTCAAAAGTTTTGAGTCGTAAATACATGCATTTAATTTATACATGACAGGCAATAGGATGATATTAAGACAAATTGTGCTTCTCTGTTCATAGTTTGATAAAAAAATACCTGCTTATTAGAACAAGTTGAAGATAAAGTTTAGACATCTATAATTTTTCAAGTCTTTCCAAGTGATTCTGGTGGGCAGCCAGGGTTCATGTTACTACAGTAGATCCCTGGCTTTTGTGTATTTAACACTCTGGCAAGTGACCTTAAAGGTCAATGCCATTAAGTAATTTATACTAAGTTTTCAAATAAGGTCAGTGGACATACTAACTCAATATGTTGTTGTTGTTGTTGTCAGATGCCATCGAGTCGGAACCGACTCATAGCGACCCCATGCACAACAGAACGAAACAATGTCCGATTCTCGGCCAACCCCACCACTGCTGCCACACTTGACACCATCAATGATGTCACCTGGCTGATCCATCTTGTTGGGGGTCTTCCTCTCCTTCTCTGACTCTCCATCTTACCCAGCATGACATCCTTATCCAGCGACTGTTCCCTCAGGACAATATGTCCAAAGTATGAGAGACGAAGCTTAGCCATCCTGGCCTGCAAGGAGCACTCTGGCCATACTTCTTCCAAAACAGATCTATTGGTTCTTTTGGCAGTCCATGGCACTTTTAGTATTCTCCTCCAACACCACAACTCAAAGGCATCAATTCTTCTACGATCTTCTTTATTCACTGTCCAGCTTTCACATCCATACGAGGTTATTGAAAATACCATGGCTTGCGTCAGACGCACCACCTTAGTCCTCAAGCTGACATCTCTGCTCTTCAACACTTTAACAAGTTCCTGTGCAGCAGATTTGCCCAATGCAATACATCGTCTGATCTCTTGATTGCTGCTTCTGAAAGTGTTGATAATTGATCCAAGAAGAATGAAGTCCTTGACAACTTCAATCTTTTCTCTGTTGATAAGAATGTTGTTTTGTTTTCCTGACATTGAGATGCAATCCATACTGAAGGCTGTGTTCTTTGATTTTCATCAGTAAATGTTTCAATATAACTCAATATAACCCATGTAATTTCAAATTTATTGCTCTCTATATATGACATCTCTTCGTAATAACATTTGTGTACACCTCTTTGTATGACATTACATAAATGTTATTATATTTATGTATGATTATAAACATTTTGTTTAAAAAAAAAATAGTACCCAGAAAAAGATGCTAAAATGGGGGGAGGGGATAACAATAACAAAATATAAAAGAGTACAGATTCATGGTAAAATTGGGCATGATGTGCTACTTGCACTTAATGAAGTTATGGATTTTCATGTGTTTAATATAAGCATTCTAGAAGTATAATATTATATGATTTCTTATATCAGATTATATCAGGAAAAAGATATAGCTATTCTATATTCATTATCTACAACTCATCTATCAGTTTGTCATACTGTGGTGGCTTGAATTTTGCTGTGATTTTGGAAGCTATACCACCAGTATTTTAAATATCAGCAGTGTCACCTATAGTGGACAGATATCAGCTGAACTTCCAGACTAAGACAGACTAGGAAGAAGGAGAGACAGACAATTTCCAAATATTTAGTCACTGAAATCCTTATGAAGAGCAGTGGAACACTGTCAGTACCAAAATAATGTCAGATATACTCAAAATAGCAATGGGAAGAGCTGCCTGCTTCTCAAAGTAGAGTTGACCGTGATGACAAGACTGAAGTAAAGCCTTTAGGACCTTAATTTGCTGATGGGGAAAAACTCCAAATGGAGAGACACAGCTACAAATATCCATTAATAATTGGAACATGAAA